TAGTAGAGGTAGTAGCAGTAGTATTCGCAGCAGTAGTAGTAGTAGTAGTAGTGGTAGTAGTAGTAGTAGTAGTAGTACTAGTAGTAGTAGTAGACGTAGTAGCAGCCGTAGTGGTAGAAGTAGTAGTTGAAGCAATCGTAGTGGTAGTAGTAGTCGTCGTAGTAGTAGTTGTAGTAGAAGTAGTAGTAGTAGTAGTAGTAGTAGTAGTAGTAGTAGTAGTAGTAATAGTAGTTGTTGCTGCAGGTGTCGTTGTAGTGAGTGTGGTAGTCACAGTAGTAGTAGTAGTATCAGTAGTAGTAGCCGTTGTAGTAGTAGTAGTAGTAGTAGTAGTAGTAGTAGTAGTAGTAATAGTAGTCGTAGTAGTAATAAAGTAGTAGTAGTCGTAGTGGTAGTAGCAGTAGTAGTAGTAGTAGTAGTAGTAGTCGTCGTCGCCGTCGTAGTAGTACTAGTAGTAGTAGTAGTAGTAGTAGTAGTAGTAGTAGTAGTAGTAGTAGTAGTAGTAGTAGTAGTAGTAGGAGTAGTAGTCGAGTAGTAGTAGCTGTTAGTAGTTAGTAGTTAGTAACTAGTAGTAGTGAAGTAACTAGTAGTAGTAGTAGTAGTAGTAGTAGTAGTAGTAGTAGTAGTAGTAGTAGTAGTAGTAGTAGTAGTAGTAGTAGTAGTAGTAGTAGTAGTAGTAGTAGTAGTAGTAGTAGTAGTAGTAGTAGTAGTAGTAGTAGTAGTAGTAGTAATAGTAGTAGTAGTAGTAGTAGTAGTAGTAGTGGTAAAAATAATAGTGGTAGGCCTAGTAGGGTTGACCTTGTTCCATTTGCCCAAGGGAGCCTCTGTGATCGTCTGGTAATCGTATGGCACTCGTGTGGTTGTCGGGTGGTAATGGTATGGTGGTCGCAAGGTAGTCGTATGGTACTCATATGGTAGTCGTATGGTAATCGTAGATTAATCGTATGGTAATCGTGCGTTAACCTGGCAATCGTACGGCCGTCGTATGGTAGTCGTATGGTAGTCGTATGGTCTTCGTATGGGAACCGTATGGTAGTCGCATAGTAATCGTATGGTAGTCGTGTTTTTCGTATGGCAGCCGTATGGTAATCGTATGGTTTCGTATGGTAGTCGTACGGCAATCGTGTGGTAGTCGTGTGGTTGTTCGCATGGTAATCGTATGGTAGTCGCATGGTAATCGTATGGTAGTCGTATGGTAATCGTACGGTAGTCGTTTTTTTTTTTTTTTTTTTTTTTTTTTTTTTTTTTTTTTTTTTTTTTTTTTTTTTTTTTTTTTTTTTTTTTTTTTTTTTTTTTTTTTTTTTTTATCATATGGTTCTCGTATGGTTTTCGCATAGTAGTCGCATGGTAGTCGTGCGATAATCATAGGGTAGTCGTATGGCAATCGTATGGTAGTCGTATGGCAGTCGTAATGCAGTCGTATGGTAGTCGCATGGTAATCGTATGGTAGTCGTGTGGTTTTCGTATGGTAATCGTATGATCATCGTATGGCAACCGTATGGTAACCGTATGTTAGTCGTATGGTAATCGCATGGTTTTCGTACGCTAATCGTATGGTAGTCGTATGGTAATAGTAGGGGATTCGTCGTGGTTTTCCTATGGTAGCCGCACGGTAATCATATGGTAATCGTGTTGTATTCGAATGGTAGTCGTAGGGTAATAGTATGATGATCGTGTGGTATTCGTATGCTAATCGTACGGTAATCGTATTGCAGTCGTACGGTTGTGGTTTGGTTTTTGTATGGTAATCGTATGGCACTCGTTTTTTTGTTTTTTTTTTTGTCCCCCCCCCCCAACCATCCTGTGGTGTTGGGTCCTCGTTTTGAAGAGACGGTGCCCCGCGTTCCTCTCCTTCCTCCTCCCCCTCCTCCCTCCTCCCCCTCCTTGCCTCTGCTCTCGGCACACCTCTCACGCGTTTCGTAGCCCCATAGGGAGCTCCACCGAAGGCCCCAGTGGGGGTGTCCACATGCGGTTCCCCCACCCAGGGCAGCGTTTCGTAGCCCCAGAGGGAGCTCCACCGAAGGCCCCAGTGGGGGTGTCCACATGCGGTTCCCCCACCCAGGGCAGCGTTTCGTGGCCCCATAGGGAGCTCCACCGAAGGCCCCAGTGGGGGTGTCCACATGCGGTTCCCCCACCCAGGGCAGCGTTTCGTAGCCCCAGAGGGAACTCCACCGAAGGCCCCAGTGGGGGTGTCCACATGCGGTTCCCCCACCCAGGGCAGCGTTTCGTGGCCCCATAGGGAGCTCCACCGAAGGCCCCAGTGGGGGTGTCCACATGCAGTTCCCCCACCCAGGGCAGCGTTTCGTAGCCCCAGAGGGAGCTCCACCGAAGGCCCCAGTGGGGGTGTCCACATGCGGTTCCCCCACCCAGGGCAGCGTTTCGTAGCCCCAGAGGGAGCTCCACCGAAGGCCCCAGAGGGGGTGTCCACATGCGGTTCCCCCACCCAGGGCAGCGTTTCGTAGCCCCATAGGGAGCTCCACCGAAGGCCCCAGTGGGGCTGCCCTCATGCGGTTCCCCCACCCAGGGCAGCGTTTCGTAGCCCCAGAGGGAGCTCCACCGAAGGCCCCAGAGGGGGTGTCCACATGCGGTTCCCCCACCCAGGGCAGCGTTTCGTGGCCCCATAGGGAGCTCCACCGAAGGCCCCAGTGGGGGTGTCCACATGCGGTTCCCCCACCCAGGGGAGCGTTTCGTGGCCCCATAGGGAGCTCCACCGAAGGCCCCAGTGGGGGTGTCCACATGCGGTTCCCCCACCCAGGGCAGCGTTTCGTGGCCCCATAGGGAGCTCCACCGAAGGCCCCAGTGGGGCTGTCCACATGCGGTTCCCCCACC